AAAAGAAAGTGATAAATTTTTCTAAATAATTTTTAGATTCTTTTCCTTTGCAGAAATATATTGATTACCTTTGCCTTTTTCAAGTTTTTCTGGTTTACGTTGTCCAAGTGCTGTACTCATCTTTCAAAATACTTTTTTGTTTTTTTTTTACAAAGAAACGAACCACTTTTTTTCCATAGACTTCATTTGATAGTTCTTTAAATGATATATTGCCAAAGAGATCCTTCAAATCATACCGAAAAGAAAAAGAATCTAGATGTCACTATCAATCAGAGACTTAAATTAAAAAGTAACTTCTAGACAACAGTACAGGAAGAAACAAAATGAAAACAAAGTTGTGGAACGTTTTGATTCTAGGATAGATTCAACATTTTCTTTTGTCTAAGATCCTCATGCGAAAGTTAAGAATGGGAGAAGACAGATTTTTGAATGCAACTTAGATGAAATACAATTAGTGTTTAATCTATATATGAAGCAATATTTTCAAGCAAACTATGGTATTTGTTAATTCGTTTTTGGTTTTATCTTACTTGTTGAAAGTAATTTTACAAAAATTACATCCAGGACACAAATGTGAAAAAGTTCAATGAGTTCATTAGTATAGGCTCATTCTCTATGATATATCATTAATTTCTATAGTTTATTTTGATATTCGTTAATTAAATCTATAAATATGCCTATTATGAACTGATCACATGTCAGATCGGTCTATCTCAAAATGTAGTGAATCGCATCGAAACGAGCTTAAAATTCAACTTCATCTTAAATTTGAATTGTCTCAATCGGAATATAGAAATAATTAAGAAGAAACCGGTACAATCTGCATGTATGATTATGAATTTCTAGGCACTATTTATTCAAAAAACATTGATGCAGTAAATCTGTGAAAAAAAAGAGACAAAATCTTTCAGTAAACTGCGAGCGGTCGCCCCGCTTAACGAAAAGCCATTCGGTACGGTAATCGCCGCCGCTTTCTTAAGGCTTATATCATCTATTCCCTCACCCGCGCGGTGCACATCTCTGACGACCATGATGTTTTCTCTATTAGTTAACAAGTTTTTAAATGATTAAAAAACGACAGAATCTCTCTACTTGAACTCATAAGTAGAACTTATATTTTAGATGAATACTCTAAAAGATTTCGCACCATTTGACCTTTCTTCTCATGTTATAAGCATTTTATTGAATTCACAGAATATTATGACAAAAACTGTAATAAAGATTTTTCGTCTGAAATTTCATCCTCATAATAGATCCCATATGGGCTAATACAGTCGAAGCAGTGAAATTAGAAACGCTTTTTTGGAAATCATCGCTGTAACGGCACGTTTATTTTACAATTCGTCGCGGCAACTCTCAATATAAGCTTTAACGTAAAGTTACGGTTCAGGTAGTTTCCTTGTTAGCAAAAAATTTCGTATACATAGGCAGCGAAGCCACGAGACCTAGGTAGGATCGGATAAAGGCTTAAATAGGCTCGATTTAACGTATAAATTTTCTAATATAAGTTAATTTTCATGTTCTTCTGACAGATGATGCATTATTACAAGGTCAGTCTGTATTTTATCTATTACAAATTCGTGTACAGAGGCATACTGATTGGTTTTCGTGGACGTCTCTATCTACGTTTAATTCTTTATTTTCAACATAAGATAATTTAATTGTTGTTATAAATGTAATGCTCCAACCTGCCATGACACCATTAGTTTGTCCTTCTCTCGTACATAATGTCATCCGTAAGGGAAATAACTACAATATTCTTCTCCATTTTGCATGTGTACTTTGGAAGGACATATTCTCTTCTCATGCATATCCATAAAAGGAATAACCGCAATATCCTCTAACCGCAATATCCTCTAACCACAATATCCTCTTCTGTTCTATAACCGCAATATCCTTTTCTGTTTTCTAACCACAATATCCTTTTCCGTTCTCTAATTGTACTTTGGAACGGCATGCTTGGTATGTTCTCCTTTTGTACATAATATCCATAAAAGGAATAATGACAATACCCTTGTCCGATAGTTATGTACTTTGGAATAGCATCCTTGGTATGTCCTTCCCTCGTACCTAGCGTGGTCCATAATTATGTTCTAACCTTTGTTCTTTTCATATTTTTCTCTTATTGTGTCCTCCGTATTTTTCAAAGTTATCCTGCATATACGAAGTAGTATGTAAGGGACGAGAAAAGTACAGCGAGGGGCGTTTTTTTTTGAGATACCAATAAAATATACTTAGAATAGCTTTTAAGTGGTATCTCTCACAACGGAAATCGTCACAATAAACTTGTATTCAAAATAATTTTTTTTGAATTTTAAGTAATAAAGAACAGTACACTTCCATAGCAGGCGAAACCACAAGACCTGAGTAGGCTTAAGTTCATCAAAATTCAAGTTTCATAGCCTAAGAGAGATTCAAACAGTTGTTTCTTATTCTATCAGATTAACAAACTTGCTTAGTGCTTGAAAAGTTTTGCTGTCATCACCGGCAACTACTAACACTTTTAGGAAAAAAAAACTGAGTTTCGTATGACTAAGTGTTGTAGTATAAATTAGCAATGAGTTCACGTCATACTGTTTTGTTACATTTGAAAAATACCTTCACAGCATTTAGCAGTCATATCTACTGGATAATGCCCAAAAGTTTCTCCTCCCTCAGCTGTTAATCTCAGATGCCAATCAGACATTTTCAACACGCTGAACTAATCCACAATGAGATTCCTTCTCTGGAAGCATTACTGCATCACTATAATCTTAATTTCCAGTAGTACAAATCAAAAATCCTTCCTAGAGTGCGGCTCATCAAATAGGTTCAGAATATAACCGATCCTAGTTTTGAGTCAGAATCTGAAATATTGCTGTTGGCCAGAGTCTGATCTGAATCTAGGTATAACTTCTCGAATTCAGATCTGATGGCGCTAGCTGCATGTAAGAGCTAATAATAACTTGATTATTGCCATATTACCGTCAAGAGTGTTTGAAAAATGTGTAGGTGTGCTAGTCACTGAAAAATTAATCGAAAGAACTGCTGCATCTTCGAAATAATTATTAAATTGGGAGTAAAAGAATTGCATTGAGAGTACGAAGACTACCAATCCAAATTCAGATCCAAAATTTTTGCATCCGATGGACTATATTTGTAGATCAATATTCAATCAAGACAAAAGTTTAAGTGGCTATTTGAATACAAGCTTTTTTTGCCATAAGTTGCAAACTCATCTCTGATCTGAACTATTGTTATGCGTGAAAGAAATGTGAGTTCGAAATAAACAGTATTAATTGTGTTTTATTTGAATGGTATAGAAGAAAAAAAATTATCAGCCTATCCTCGATTCAAAATGTTTCGCTGCCTATGTATGTACGAAGAGTTTATTTGATGAACATAGTCTTGATAAAGTAAAATAAAAAAGTTAATCCTAATCGTAAGAAACAAAACGGAAAAATAATTGATCTTTATTTTAGTCTTTATTAGTATATTTATTTTTTTAACTGAAATTTTCAGGATATTACATTTACCAATTAACCTAACTGTAGGCAAAATCTTAAATTGAAATGCCATCATTCGATTTGTTGATATATACCCTGCTTGAGACTTAAATTTCGTTAAAATGCTAATAACTGTAATCAGAAGGCGTAAGAACAATTATTCTTTTGGGGTTTTTCATATCTTGTTGATGATCACTATCAAAATTTTTATTTTGTGAATACGTAATTGAATATCTTACAAAGGATGTAATTCCAGTCTAACTTTAAACAAATTTTACAAAAAATATATTAAACTTTTCTTGAACTGTCGTAAAGTTCAGAATTGAAACGTAGTTTTTCTTTTATCCGAAAAAACAAAAACATGATCATGTTGACATATTATTTTTTTTACAGGAAACCATTCGATCTCGAAGAACATACTGACTCATCATAATTTGCTTTTTTAGATCACGCTGTAATACATATCCTGTGCGTTCATTCTGTTTTTTATTCTCTTCATCTCAACAATCAAATATCTTAGTGTGACGATCAATGATAGAAGGATATTAATGTGCATGGAAATATACTTTGTTCTACTCCATCATGTCATACAATTGTATCGTTTGCATATAAAGCACACGCTTATATACACGATTAGAATCAGAGATAGTGAAAAAAAGAGTTGAGGCCAAGGAGAGAACAATGTAAGAATAAAAAGGTGATAAGGTCAAAGAGAGAACAAATATAGAAGAACAATAAACTAAAGACAGCAGCGTAAGAATAGACAGATGAGGACAATATACGAGTGAATGAGGATACAAAATGAGAAGCAGATAACGATAGAATAAGGCTCAATCATGCATAAATAAACGTAAGGGTAACACCATTATGAACATTGTGTAGCGTCGATTGTATAGCAACATGCTGAGAAAGAAAAGATATCACATTAGGTGCTATACTAATTGTCACACTGTGACGATTTTTAGATAGAAGAAGAGTTAGCGCTGATGGAGTTACACTTTATTGTATTTCTTCTCAAAAACTGTATCGTTTTCATACAAAGTACACGCTTATATGCTCGTTCATCAGAGAGAAGAAAAGGATAATAAAAACAGAAAATAAGGGCAATACGACAGGAACAAAGTACACTATGATGTACAAAGTAAGGACAATACATAAGATAAGAAAAAATAGTAAGAAGAGGAAAAACATCATGCATACAATGTACTCTACCAGGACGTTATATACACTTAGTTATTCTTACATATGACACCATTGTATTGCAGTCAGTCGCGCTTGGATAGACAATTTTGCCATTTATAAACGATCGACTCGTTTCTTCTTCATTCATTCATTACGATGTTATCATTCCGACTTCTTTTGCTTCTTCTCTCATTGTTAACCAAAAACTTCGTCACGAGTGAGAAAGTACTCATTCAAGATGACCTACAATCTGCCATTTCGAATTTTTTTAAAATAAATTATGAGCAAATTTATCACGAAATTCGTGATAATCTTTTACCAAAAATTCATCAAATGTCTCAACGAACGCAATCAATTATTTTATCAACAACCAAGGCATTTAATAGAATGCAGGTTAGTTTTCATTGGATAAAGTTTGAAACATTTTGCGTTTGAACTTAATATGAATATTATTTAACTATCTTCTATATTAAATTTTTTCAGAAAATGTATAAGATTGAAAGATTTGAATTAAAATAACTTATTTAAGTTTTGACTATTTTTATTTTATTTTATTATGAGAATCTTTTTGTTTTGAAAACTAGATAGAAATATGTCAAAATTTGTTTTTCAGTAGTCAACTAGTATGTTTTCAATTGACATTTGTCTTTTATGTATAGAAATATAAGGATGTTACAAACCAAACTTGTCTTTTGCCTTCATTAATTCTATACATTGGTCAATTTTCGATAAATTTGACACGAATTGTACAAACTGAAGTACCATTTATTGAACAAGAATTAAAGAGAATTGTACCAGATATGAATAAACTTCAGAACAAAATCAAACAACTTACTCATGATGATAAACAACAGAAAATAGTAGTTCGATTCAATAAAGAACAAATGCAAAAATTCTACGAACTAACAAATGCCTATAAAAAATTAAACGACGAGATATTTGAATTGAATAAAAAACTTATGCAGTAAGTTTCATTTTTTCTATAAAATCATCAACAGTTGATCTGATATATTCTTTTTAGAATGATGAATGAAATATTAGCTCCTGGTATTAGTACAGTTGATGAATATAATGAATGTATGAAGTTAACAGCTCGCGCTTTAATAGATTATGGTTATAATCAATCAGTTGAACATATTGATGATGATGATGTCAATGAATTTCTTCTTTCAACTGATATTTTACTACCAAATAATCGTACTGATATGTGACTTGTATTAGATCTAAAATAAACAAAAAAAATTATCATTTTGATCGTTTATCGATAATTCTGTCCAACTGATTACTTTTGATTTTGTTCCTCAGACCTATAACTGGATGAAAGTCGAACAGAGATGATGTGACAAGACTTTTTATAAAACTCATTGAAGAAAACTTTATCTATATCAATAAGCTAGACTAATCTAACAATAACAATTTTTTCTTTTTTCTTTATAAAATTTTCAATGTATTCTTCTTACTCTTGAGTAAAGTTGGGATCTTTCTCAATTTATTTATCTTTTTTCGTCAATGATCATTATCAATGTTGAATATTAGAAGATGAAGTTTCTTTTAATAGAAAAATAAAAATTTAAAAGAAAAGAAAAAAACTAATTCCACATTAGATCATCAATATAGATCGTTTTCGTTTTCATCATCTGAAGAATCAGATCGACATTGACGATTCCTTGTTATTATTAATACGATAGAAACAATGAAGAAAATACAATCTATCAATAATTAACAAGAAAAAACAGTAAGAAGCTATCGAATCTGATCAATTATTTTTAGAACTGTTAGATAAATTTTAAATGAGAGGATCTCTTTTTATTTTTTGAAAATAAGTATTCTCCATCAATGAATAGATATTGAAAAAGTTCTTTCATTATCATTTAGTTTATATTCGGAATATAGGATTATAATAATGCCGTATAAACAATAGTCTTTTTCTGATTTGAATGTGACTTGAAATACTTTAATTCTTCTGAAATATGGCTCAAAAATTTCCAAATATTTTAGGCGATGAGAAATTCCTTCCACCTTGAATAACCTCACTCTATTTACTAAATGCATTGATGACTAGCATCGTGAAACTTGAATATCATTTCCAATGATCAATCAACGGATCTTTTATTCTCACTTTTCATCATGTTGAACACCCACTGTAATTACATACCAGAATTCTCTACTGAAATTCCTCAATTATCGAAATTCTATCATTTTATGAATCATATTGAAGTAAAATAGAAGATGATGTTCACTTCTCTCAATTCTTAAGAAAATGTTCAAATAAAAATAAGCGAAATGACTCCTTTTGATAATCTATTTGATGAATTCCTTTTTGAAATCCAGTTAAAACAATAGAAAATGAAATGATTTCAATCTCTGATTCATCGATACCAACAAGAGTAGCAGCATCAAATGATAGCCAAATAATAGTAAGTTATTCAACTGAAAATATAATTCAGAACAAATTCTTCTTCTTATTCATCATTATTATCAACAACAACATCATTTATTTGAAAACAAAAACAGATCAACAAACAGAAAAAGTTCTTGTTCGAAGTTCATTAACTAAATCGAACGCGTCAAAGAAAAAAACAAGCTTCTTTTTAGATATTCCTTCTGAAACGTGTTCATTTAAAACAACAGTATTTCGATCTACTCTCAATAATGGTATTAAACAATGAGAAAAGATGAAACATAAATTGATGCATTATTTTCTCCACAAGACAATCAATTTTCTCTATTCTTATCACAAATAACTAATGATATTAATACTTTTCAACAACAACAACTACATAAATTTACACGAGTTTTATTCGCAAGTTTTTATTATGAATAAAGTATTTTTCGGTCATTAAAAATTCTTCAAACTCCGTTCGAATGTTTCTAATGACAAGTTGAAAATATTTTATTATCATATACCGATAAAGTCATTTATACCATGTGTGACAATATTTGACTGTTTCAAAATTTCACGAAAATTGTCTTTGGTGTGAAACATATAATTATATTCTTGAATAGAGATCATCATTTTGTACTCAGAAAATAAGAATAGCAGCAACTCTAGAACAAGTTTAAAGATGAACATAGACAATTGTCTACTTGAATTTGATATTAACATCACCGACATGTTATAAAGAAAAACTTTTGCTTTGATTTTATGAAGTTTATCTGACAGACATGTCCTTTTAATGAATTTTTAGTCAATTTTCATTTCTACAGTTAAGTTTTTTTATAATTTATTCTAGTAGGATGAAATAGATAAATGTTATAAACAAATTCATTTATTAAAATAAAAGTTTGACAACGATTTGGTATCCATCTATTTTTCGTTTTAATGTTAATTGTATTCGATGAAAAAGTTTTCATAATTAAAATAAGAATAAATTGATCATTTCTAAAGATTTTTAGGATTATTTGTCATATCGATACTATTCTTCTCATCATTTCTTTATTTTCGAATATTTGATTAATCGTTAATTTAATAAACTTAGGGGGTGGGCGTGGGATGGCGGGTGAGTGTAGGTGTGGATGTGTATCCATAGAGCTACCACGCCCACATCCACACCCACACCCAATTTTGATTTCAAATAAAATTGACTGTCTTCATGCTTCTTTTCATTCAAATTATGAGAATATCTTTAGAAAAATGGAAGCAGTTAAAGTACTCATGAGAGTCCTTTTTTTTTCGTTCCTGTCAGGTGAAAAATGGTGTTTTTTTTAAATCGCTGAAATACAGCATTGCAATGCATAACAACACTCAATTCCTCTTTTTTTCGTTCCTTCTTTACGACTCAACTTTAATTTCCGACTATTTAGAATTCGCCATTAAATGTCAATAAACAAAAGCACATTTGGTGTCGCGAAAAATTCAAAATGATGATCCTTGTTGCATCAAGAGAAAAAAATTGTTTCTTCTTGAATTAAAACAAACTCTCTTCATTTTTCTTTTCTTACCAAGTGGCAAATAAATTCAAAATGAGTGAGAAAAAAACAGATGCAATACTTTCTACAACTACAATGGATACTACAACACAGGCGACGCCATCATCGAGTATCATGGAACCAACGCAATGCATGGCTAGAAGTTATATCATTGTCTGGATCGATGAGAACATTGACCCAAACAGTGACAAATATCAAAATACACTTACGCAGCTGCAAAACGTGACCGATGAAGTGTATATTTTCAATCAACCTGATGAAGGTGTAGATTTTCTCACTGACATCCGTGATCAGAAGGCATTCGTTATTCTGTCGAACCATAAACATCAAGATATTATACCTATCATCCATGATATTTCTCAGCTTGAGAGTGTTTACATCTTCTGCAACAGAGAAGCCCTAATGAATCATTGGAATAAGAATTTGAGCAAAATTAAAGGCATTTACATAGATGCTACGCGTCTCTGTAAAGCACTGCATGATGCCATCCAACAAAGCTACCAGAATGATATCGCAATGAGTTTCGTCAGTGTCAATGAAGATAGTTCAAAAATAAGCCTAGATCAGCTGGAACCATCATTCATGTACACACAACTGTTTAAAGAAATTGTGCTTGAAATCAATCACAGTGAGGAAGACATCAAAGATTTTATTCATTTTTGGCGTAACAAATGTAACGACAATAAGACAACATTGAACACTATTAAAGAGTTCGAGAAGGAATACAGTCCCGAGAAGTCCATTTCATGGTATATTCATCTGCCTTTCATCTACCAGACTCTCAATTGGTCACTCAGAACACTGGATACTCAAACAATGAAGAAAATGAGCTTCTTTATTCGCGATCTTCACTGCCAGCTCAAACAATTAAACAAAGAACAGTTTACAAAAAAAGACACTGAAACCTTTGTTGTTTACCGAGGGCAAGGATTGTCCAAAGCCGATTTCGAGAGGCTCAAAAAAACCAAGGGTGGTCTTCTATCGTTTAATAACTTTTTATCCACTAGCCAAAGTCGCGATACTTCCGTCATGTTCGCCGAAAGTAGTGCGTTAGCACCCAATTTCGTCGGAATTCTTTTCATAATGACTATTGGACGGTCTTTTTCATCAATTCCTTTTGCTAACGTCACAGCGATGGGCCAGTTTCAAGACGAAGAAGAAATTCTCTTTTCTATGCATACGGTTTTTCGTGTGAAAGAAATGAAGCAGGCCCTTAACAATGCAAACGTATGGGAAGTACACGTCAGTCTAACTAATGACGATGACCCACAGCTATCCGCTCTCACGCATTATATACAGCAAGAAATCCAAGGCACTACCTGGGATCGTATGGTTCAATTGATGTTCAAGCTCAACAACTACACTACAGCTGAAGAACTTTGTAATCAACTTCTCGCCACTCCATTGACTCACACTACACAGGCAACTGTATTGAACAACCTTGGAAGCATCAAAGATCAACGAGGTGACTACCCAAAAGCACTTTCAGCGTTAGAAAGATCACTTGAAATCCGAAAAATAGCTCTCCCTCCGAATCATCCCTCCTTAGCTGCTTCCTACAACAATATCGCTTCATTGTATTATAACATGGGCGAGTACTCGAAAGCACTTTCATCGTACGAAAGATCA